CCCTAAACCCTAAACCCTACGTGTGGTTCTAGTCTTGTTTTGGAAGGGAGCTGTCGGACTCCTTGTCATCCAAGGGCGCCGTCACCGTGCAAGGCGTAGAGTCCTTCACCAGAGATGGTCGGGACTTGGGCTTTAACCTACGGACTTGGGAGTTTTCGAAAACAAGGGGTACCTTCTTGGGGTTCCTTATAATAAGGATCCTACTATTTAGGGTACTGTACTAGGGTCCCCTATTTTCTGAAACCCCCCACTTATGTTTAGAGTTTCGGGTTTTGAAATTAAAGTTGCGGGTTGAGGGTTTAGGGGTTTCAGGGTTTTGAGTTTAGGTTTAGGGCTTTTTGGGGCTGAACCTGTGACTTATAATGGTGTGTTCCATGGATCTCGCTGCAAAAAGGGTGCTACATGATGTCTACAGAAGTCTACAGCGAAGCCCGGGAAAGTTGGAACCCGGGTTTAGGAGGACGAGTTCTAGAATCCCTTCTACTTGATCTTAAGGGCATGAGGGTAATGATGTTCCAACTTTCTGGCTTCGACTGTATAGGGTTGGGAGGCTAGGTTGAAGGGGTTTGGAAGGTAAGGCTCGAGAGCGGCCAGGGTTTAGGGTTCAGGGCTTAGGGTTTAGGGTCTAAGGTGCAGGATTTAGGGCTTAGGGTTCAGGGTTTAGGGTTTAGGGTTTCAGAAGTTTTCAGAAGGAAGAAGCCAAGCTACCCGAAGCTAGGCTAGACCGATATCTCCTCCTGAACCCCCGGCAAGTTGGCACTTTACAAAACCCCTAAACCCTAAGCCCTAAACCCCTAAACCCTAAACCCTAAACCCTAAACCCTAAACCCGAGACCCCTGAACCCTGAACCCTACACCCTAAAACCTAAACCCTAAACCCTACACCCTAGACCCTAAACCCTAGACCCTAAACCGGGGCTACAGGAGCCCCGGCAGTTCAGGATTCGGGGCTTGGGGGCTTCGGGTCGGCCTTGTGCCCCGAGTTGGCTTCAGGGTTTTGGGTTTAGGGTTCAGGGTTTAGTGCCCAATGTTGGGGTTTATGGCCTAATCTTGGGTTTAGGGTTTAGGGTTTAGGGCCTAATATAGGGTTTAGGGTTTAGGGTTTGGGGCCTAATGTAGGGTTTACGGTTTAGGGTTTAGGGTTTCGGGCCTGATGTAGGGTTTACGGTTTACGGTTTATGGTTTAGTGTTGACAGCAGCAGCGTCGTTCCCTCGTGGGGGCGGCCAAGCTCTGTTTTGAATCTTCGAGGCCGTGATAATAAAGGAGTGCTCGTCGACGGTAGTCTCTGTATGCATCGAGACGGCCGTCAAAGGTGGGAATCTTCTTGTCATCGTCCTTGGTCTCCATGGCCTCGAAGCTGTCGTTGACGAAACGGAACTGATACGCTGCGCCCTGGATCAAAAGGCTAACACAGAAGAGCACAAAGCTCCGCTGCCATGTTGACAGCAGCAGCGTCGTTCCCTCTATCAAGCTCAACAGCCTGATCATGACACTATGTAGGAGTGCCACCTCAATGAAGTGTCTACTGGACATCCAGTCAGAATGAACATAAAGCATGTCTGCAATGCGAAAGACTAGGCTTCTTTTCCGTGCCTCGAACTGGCTTCATGCATGCTTGAGCCACCGATGGTGGCGATGATGAACATGTGCCGTGAGGCTCCACCACACACAACAGGCACAGCATGATCTGTTCTTCAATTCACATTTAGGGTTTAGGGGCTTGTTTGGGTAGTTCTCTAAATTGGGGTCCCTTTGAGGGTCCTTTTATAAGCCGTACTATTTGGGAACCTAAAGAGGGACCCTAGTTTGGAGAACTACCCATTTATGTACTATCGGTTCCGAGGCCATAAGTAGGTTACCCCAACGTGGGTCCTGCGATTCAGGGTGGGCGTAATGTCGGCTTTCGGGGGCTGTCGATGGTGGAAAAAAACTGCTGGCCGCTGAGGTGAAAACACCAAAACACCTGCAGAAGTTGTGTTAGACTCGGCATAGCCCTGGTCTTCATCGTCCTAAGCCCTACACCCTTAGCCTCAAGTTCTTCAACCCCCAGGACCTAAACCATGAGCCATAACTAGGCCCTAAATCGTAGACCCCAAACCCAAAGCAACGCAACCCTGGGCCCCTGCACCTTCAATTTAGGTGCAGTTAAGAGTTCTAAAAGTCCCTCAAAGCATTTCAACTCTCTGATTCCTCTAACTCCCAAACCCCGAAACCTACACACTAAACCCCGTAGCCCAAACCCCAAACCCTAAAGCCGAGACCCTAAACCCAAACCCTACACCCGGTCCCGTGAACCAAACCCCCAGCAGAGTCCTTCCCAGAGGTGGAGATGGAAGCGGTGTCCGAGCAAGCCTTCCGTGCCCTAAACCCCAAACCCTAAGCCCTAAACCCGAAGCCCTAAACCCGAAACCCTAAACCCGAAACCCCAAACCCGAAACTCCAAACCCGAAACTCTAAACCCCGAACCCGAAACCCGAAACTCTCAACCCTAAGACCGAAACCCTTAACTGTGCTTAGGCTTGAAGCTTTGGACTTTGGTCTTGGGACTTTGGGCCCAAATTAAAGGAAGACCCTCAAAAGGCTTTAGGGTTTTGAGTTATGTGGTTTAGGGTTTAGGGTTTCGGGTTTAGGGTTTAGCAAGCTTTAGTTAGACTACAGACTGTAGGATTTAGGGCTTAGACTTGTTTGTGCTCTGGACTTCGGGGCTTAAGTTTCAAGAACCCTAAACCCTAAATTTAAGGTTAAGGAGCACAGCCGTCAGGCTTTGGGGCTTTGGGCTCTAGGCTAAATGTCTGGAGCTTTCGCTTTCGGGCTCACTTAAAAAGATCATGCGACGTAGTAGCTAGGGATTTTAATAGGGTTTAGGGTTTCGGGTTTAGGGTTATGAATAGGATAACTATACGTATAATTACTTATGACCCCTATTAAGGTACTTATAACCTTACTTACTGAGTCGCATGACCCTCCAAGTAGGGTAGAAAGTGCGCGCCTCAGACTCCGTGGCGATTTGCGTCACCGTCGCCATGGTGAGAGCGGCAGGTAACGAGAGATTGTGGGTAGCTAGGCTCGAGCAAGTCTCCCCATGTGTTTAGGGTTTAGAGTTTAGGGTTTAGGGTTTAGGGTTTAGGGTTTAGGGTTTATGGTTTAGGGTTTAGGGTTTTGGGTTTAGGCTTTAGGCTTTAGGCTTTAGGCTTAAGTGTTTTAAGTGAAAGCATCACGGCTTGGGCAACCCTATGGGCTGAACCTTCATTAACCTTGAACCCTCAACCACTAGCGAAATTTACACGTGAAAACCTAAACCCTCAAGCCTAGGTCTAAATTAGCCCTAATTAAACCCTGAGCCCTGCTCCTAAGCCCAGAGCCCTCAACCCTAGGCCCTATACGACCCTAAAACCTAAACCTCAAACTCCCTAAACCCCAAACCCTAAACTCCAAACTCCCTAAACCCAAACCCTACACGCTAAACTCCCTAAACTCCCTAAACCCTAAACCCCTAAACCCTAAACTCCAAACTCCCCAAACCCTACACCCTAAACTCCCTAAACCCTCAACCCTAAACCCTAAACTCCAAACTCCCCAAACCCTACACCCTAAACTCCCTAAACCCCAAACCTTAAACCCTAAACTCTAAACTCCCTCAACCCCAATACCCTAAACTCCCTAAAACCTAAACCCCAAACTCAGAGACTCCAATACCCCTTAATTAAGGAATTTACCTTAAATTATATTTAGGGATCCTACTATAATTGAAGGTATATTCCTTAATTAAGGGGTATTGGAATCTCTGGGAACTGTTAAACCCTAGGAGCCCTAAACCCTAAACTCTAAACCCTAAACCCTAAACCCTAGGAGCCCTAAACCCTAAACCTTAGGAATCCTAAACAATATAAACCTTATTAACCCTAAGCCCTTAACTCTAGACCCTAAACCCTAAACCCCAAACCCTATAATCCTAAACCTTATAAACCTTAGTCTGTAACCCGAAGCCCTTGACCAAAAGGTTCCCAAGCCCTGGGAGTCTGACTGTACACGAGAGCCGGCGCAACTCTCTGATCTGGACCTGACGGTTTAGGGTTTAGGGTTCAGGATTTAGGGTTTAGGGTTTAGGGTTCAGTTTAGGGTTTAGGGTTCAGTTTAGCGTTTCGGGCTTAGGGTTCAGTTTTGCGTTTAGGGTTTAGGGTCCAGTTTAGTATCCAGGGTTTACAAAAAGGATAAGAACCCAAGTTTACGGTAGGATGAAAGGTCCCGGGTTTTCGGCTTAGGGTACAGGGCCATGACCTGACAGACTTTGCGTCCTACAGTCAACATGACCTAACCGTTGAAGCCCTAAATGTAAGGGCCTGAATAATTCGAACAGGGTTTGGGGTTAACTATACTATAATCAAAATATGGGGCCTGGGGGTAGTTATACTAACATTATAATTTGGAGCCCCCAGAACAGTATTGGTAATTCTTTAGGCCCCTTTGTTAAGCCTGAGTCCTGAAGCCTATCTAAACTCACACGACGCCCCAAAGCCCAAAGTCGCAATCGAGTGAGATGCTTACCGCTGCCAAGACTAACAATTTGTGGGGTTAAGGCGTTTAGGGTTTAGGGTTAAGGTGTACGGTTTAGGGTTTCGGGTCTGGGAGGTTTCTGGTTGAGGGGTTAAGGTTTAGTGCCCAAAACCCTAAACCCTAAACCCGAAATCGTAAAGTTTAGTGTTTAACCCCATTAATTAAGCAGCCAGGTTTATAGTTCAGAGCACGTGCGCTCAGATTCGAATGCTGGGCGTTTGCGGCCCCCCTCGGAGCCTGGCACTGGCAAGTTAGGACTTAGGGTTTAGGGTTTAAGTTTAAGGAGAGCCCGATACCCCTGAATATCAGAAATACACACTTAAGTAAGCAGTAGCCTTACCCCTCAAGGGCTTTAGAAAGGAAATGCGAAATGCCGAAGCCTGCATTTCTTGTCTCAGGGTTCGGGGTTTTAAGCTGTAGAGTGCGGGTAGGATTGAAGGTACACGGGGAGTCACCATCATCATCGTCATCATCATCAGCAGCGGCATCGCAAATCTCCAGCAGGAACATCAACTGCAGAAGAAAGGACCCTAAATGCCTTCAACCCT